CATAAAAAGGCTCTCAAATTGCGCTGTATTAACGCAAAGGAATTTGTGCTTCATTATCCCCGGCTAATAAAGATTTTCTCAACACCCGTCGCCAATTTCATCTCTGATATTGTATTACTTTAGCTTAAAAACACTTATTTTACAATGCCTGAGTTTTGAATGCCACTTATATGGAACATTTTTAGTATGTATTTGTAATAGCAGTAAGAAGCGTGCATTTATAACAATGCGGAAATCTCTTATGAAAAAAAACATAATTTCTTTCCAGATTGTACATCAAATCTATGATGTGAACTATACGTGAGATAATTTCTCGATAGTTAAAAATTTGTATAATCAGCACTGGTCAACAGAAATTTGCCTTCGGCGCTCAATCAAGTACATTGTCCAGATGATGACAGGGAAGTGATACTGTGGACATTTTGAGAGATATTGGTATTGTGGACAGGTGCTTATAGCTGTCGTGCAAGAATAAATCTGTGTGCCTTAACTATGTAAGAACTGTTGTCACTCTGTTACCGTCCCTCTACACTAACGTTTCAAGGTGCCGTAGTACAAGCCTTTTACGAATTTCTGATAGGAAGTTAGGGAAAAGAAATATGTATGTACGCATGGTTTCTCCATTGAAGAGCTCATGACTTTATGGTAAGTGTCTCAACTGGTAAATCTCAAGGTGACAGGAAGATGTTTTGCACAGATTAGAGGGCTGACAATAGGGCAACAATTGGCACCAAGCCTTGCCACTGCCTTCATGTCTAAGGTGGAAGCTTCTGTTCTGCAAACCGCGGAATTGAATGTACTCACATTGTCGGTGAGGACAAAGGAGAAAGAATAAAGCTTGAAGCTCTCGGAGTTGATCAATCCCCGAGTGATGCGCCATGCGTGCGCCTTCAATTTTTTAACTTCCCTTGAAACTATTGAATGCATATCTGGCTCTTACAATGACTCACAGTGATCTCCCGCTGTACCGAATGAGTGCTGCTTATCCTCCCAGACAAGTCTGAGACCTGACTGGTAACAATTTATAGACTCCAGAGGGATGGACGGCGTGGGTGAGCCATGAGCGCGACATCGAACCATTGACCTCGTGTGCGCCACATACGCTTTTCGGTGGAGGATAACATATATCATTAGAAGCTTGTGAAGGCCTAGAAGGTCTGTGAGGCCACGAAAGACCTTCCACGTAAACGCGGCGACATTGACGTCATTTAAAGATAAAAACCACATCGCTTTTGCACCAGCCTAATACATAAAAGTAAATAAATATGTATATAAATGCCCATAAAACGACAATGGGTTTCTGGGTTTTCTCTCATGATTATTGAAGAATTCAAACTCCTGTAGTACTTTTTCTAATTTCAAATTTTTATTGACTTTCAATGACTGTATGGAAAAAGGGATATTATTTTAGATTTAATAGTTAGATTCTTTCACATCGAATAACGTTGACCTAAGACAATTGAGTGGTACGAAGAAATTTTACCTCAGACGGGAGTTGAACTCCGCGTTTCACCCATACGGGGGCGCGTGCTCAGTGCCGATTGATATGCAAAACTTTGGACGTCGGACGCAGATCGGAGCCACATTTCACCCCTTCCAAAGGCGCATATAAACCATTGCACTGCCAGCGCTCCTCTTCCGTCATCACTCTTTGTCCTATCCTTCCTTCTTCCTTTCAGGGAAAGATGAAATGTGGGTTTGAATCCTGTCCGATGTTCAAAGTTCTGCAAATCACTCAACACTGCTGAATATAAAGTATAATATTGTAAGATTTTTTGCACAACTTATTACAATTCATTGGATGTTAAAAGCGATACGATTGCAACGGACTACTGCTTCTTCTTCAACTAAGAAACGATGCCTATATGGATGTTTGTCAAAGCAGGAAAGTGTGTGACAAAATATAGCGCATAAATAAGAGAAGCGCGACATTCTTTTTCTCAAAATACAAAGGATAACCCCAAGATATCAAAATCGGGCGCCGTTTCTTGATCGCGTTGCGCGCTGCAGTTACAACAGAGTCCTCGGTAAGCCTACGGGTTCCGAAAATGAATTCCGAAAAACTATGGCATGCGACAGATTGACATCTTTACACATGCTGTGCTCTAGCACATTTTAATACTATATGAATATGATCATCATGATAAACCCTTCTTGGACCCTTGTTGTTCACATAACTCTGCTCTGTCCAATTTTCTGCAAATCTTTTTCAAGTGAACTTGAAGGTAACTATTAATCCTATGTGCGTGCGCAATTATGTGCATTGCGTAGAAACATGCTTTTCAGAGTGCACATTTCATGCACATTGACAGCCACTGAGTGAAAAATCCAGGTGTAGAGAGCCTTAATTGTAAAACCTTTTTCTCTTTTGTCCTTCGCGAAATCATGATAATTTACTGCAGATCAGAGTTTAACATTGGTAAGCATCGTGCCAGTTTTCAAAGTGCGCTATGATGATGGTCACAAAGTTTTTCGTATCGGGTGACGAAGCTGGTAAAGCTGCACATTTTCCTTGCGCTCAGCGGTCGCCATCTCCACCTGTTAGAGGTTTATCTGCTTTCGTCTTTTAGTCCTGTCGATCGTGTACCGCTGAAAACTATATTTATCCTTGACTCTAACACTACGGCATTTAATCACCACTTCAAATACTCTAGCTTCACTGAATGCCACTTCAGCACTTTATCTATCAATAAGCAAAGTGTATGTGATCTCAATATGCCTGATAAAATTTAGGGCCTTGTTTGTAGTAATTATTTTTTTACCATTCATGTGGTCTGTTATAGGCACTCACGAAGTGCAATACACGTGTTTCGACCTCCCAGCCTCGTCAGTTGCACGGTACCTTTTCTTTCAGCAGTTCCTCCAAAATCTAGTCCTTATATAGAGGAGTCGACGGTGACCGCTCTGTACGCATAGATGAGTGAAAAAATTACCGAACGGTCACTGTTGCGCACTCAGTTGTTCTTGGCTGGTTTACATGATTTGATCGCCTTCTTTTCGCCATTCGGTTCCTATTGTGCTGGCGTTGCGAATACGTAAATTGGGTTCAGATATCCAAGTTCAAAGTGTCGCAACTACAGAACGACCCAACCAGCCACGTGGCGTCAGTATTGCTCAAGCATCCACACCTGCATTTCGAATCAATCATTGCAATCTCACTTTTCTCCAGCAAGTGTGCTATCAAGCAATAGTGGTAGGTTGCCTAAGGACGTTGTTCTGAAAATCACTTAGTGTTCTGGTCTGAATGGATGCTCCACGGTTACTCAGACGAGGAAACATATCTGACTCCAGAATAAGGGATTGCTGATTCTGCATTTTTATCCCGCATTCAGTGGAACAACTGATCATTTCAATCAGATGGATCGAAATAGAAGTTGAGGCTGAATTTCTACAATGACTTTCCGAATTTGGAGTTGTTAGTGGAGCAGAAATCTCAAGAACATTAGCTCTGTGATTAATGCGCCTTTGAACTTTTTCATCGTTTCTCTTTGATTATTTATAAAGCTGAACACAAGCTGAAACCAAGTCAAGTGTTTTGGCTAATATGTTTCGCATTTAAAGGTCATTAGAATTAGATAATATAGGATTGGAGTCGAAGGTTGACAAATTCACGATTTTTGCATCGCTGATAGCATCGCTCTCAAAACATCAGGTATTAGCCATTTCGATCGAATACTGACCGATTTCGACAGCGCCTGTGGAGAGATTTGTGGCCGGTCCAATCTAACAACTTCGATGTTCACAAGGAACGAATCAATTTCTGATGCATCTCACTCAGCGAAACAATCATCTCCAAAATTTTAGTTGAGTCTATCCAAGCCGCAAAGTCAATTTGGTGAACGTTTTAGATCCAGAGTTGAGCAGGAGGCGTAAGTGGCATGGGCAGCATTTAGAAGCACCAAGAATTAAGTGAAGAGAGGGAACGTTTGACCCCATGTTCACATTCAGGACTCGACGGTTACCGCTGCCATGACGTATGCATTACAGACGTGGTCGCTGCGAAAGCAGGATGAAAGATCACATGGCGTTATGGAGGGCGCAGTCAAATTGTAGGGGCCCATTCTTTGCCAATCAGGAAAAGAATTGAAAGCTTTGACATAAAGGATGCCATATTAGACCCCTAAATATGTCAGATAAGATGGGCTGGACACGTACTGCGTTTTGACGACAATTGATGGACGAGAACCTTTACTTATTTAATGACAGTTTCTTGCATCGAGAAAAAGCTCTACATACCTTAAGAAATCCATACCACACGGTTCCTCTGCACATTCATATACGTTTTGTACAATTTCAAGTGTTGCTAAAGTTGGCATTTTTCTATTGAGTGTCGTTAGGTGCTGGTCAAGTCGATCTTACATGGAAATGTGGGTTAGCCACTTAACGGTTGCTATTTGAGTTGTAGGGTGCAAACTCGTCTTAACAGTTTCTCTGCTAGTAATTATTCAATCCTGAAAGGGTAAGAGGTTTGCTGAACTTGGTGTGAAGTTGGATAAGGGTTATGCTCGTGTTGGGCGACATCACTATTCTCTAAAGAATATTTTGCTGAATTTTTCTCAATCAGTCGATAGATTATCAAACGCAGATTGTTCTTTAATGAAGCCAGTCTATGGAAAAAGCACGGTTCATCACGTGCGCACCACACGCGGTGGAAATTTTGTACTTGCGCACGCAGCCAATGGAATTGTGGGAAGTTGTTCAAATAATTAGGTTTTCACGAAAGCATTATCACTATAGTTTAGACGAGAAAACCACACCTTTCAATGCAAGCAAATTTATGGCTGTTACATCATAATATATATTATATTATTTTTTTTTTTATAATCCAAAGAGAATTGAGTGATGAGCAAAAGTACGACTTCGGGCGTCAGTCGAACCTGCGTGTGATCCATATCGGGGACTCGTGCTACCACTACAGCACCGAGGTACATTCATAGCTACATAGAGATGTTGAAGAATGAACATAGAGATGTTGAAGAATGAGTGGTGGGCAAAAATACGACCCCAGGCGGGAGTCGAACCCGCATTTCATCTATATTGTGAACGCGTGCTACCACTACACCACCGAGGTGCATTCGCTCTACTATTCATTCTTCAACATCTTTATGTTAGCTGCTATCCCCGATATGGATTAAACGCAGGTTCGACTCCCGTCTGAGGTCGTGTTTTTGCCCATTAATTCTCATAGGGATATATGTAACATCATAACACTGCGAAAAATGAAGTAAAAATACCAAAAATTTTGAGTATATTTTCATGAATCAATCATTAGTTTGAGAAAAACCGATTTTGATGCCAAACCTAATTGGTGCAAAGACCTTCATATAATGTGTTAGTGAAAAAAGATGACGTTTTGCTTTCAGAATACGTTATTTTCAACCTAAAAAGCGGATTTTTTGGTATCAAACAATGAAATTTTGATTCTGAATATAACTTGTTGGTACGAAATTATAAATCACTTTAAGGTTCCTGAAAAGGTAATTTTAAGAAAATAGTGTTCACTCCTGCTGACATTTCCATTTTCATTGCGGAATTTGTAAAGTACAGTAGCATTGTGCAAAATGTGCTCGTGTTTCGTTACCTTCTGTATACCAACAGAGCTATTAACTAAACTGTCACCAACCATCCGCTAGCTTGGTAAGCAGAGATTTTATGACTGGACTTAATTTGTACTTCAAAAAAGTTTTTTTAGTGCACAGCATCAGCGAGGTAAAAATACACCTTGCTTTTGGGCTTATTGATGTTGCTTGACTTCACTTCGAGTTTCGTTGTCAGTTATATAGTAAAGTTCAGATCATGAAAGCACTCCATCATTCAAGAAAGATGACCTATTACTGAAGAGAGTCTACAGGTAGTTTTGGTAAGAAGTACGCCATTGTATCCTAAGAATTCTCGTTTCTCAACAGGAAAATCACATGCATGGGAGATAACATCTTTTTTACAACTTATTGCCATTCCCGTCGCCTATCTTGTGAGAGTATGACTGCCTTTTTTACGAAAAATTTCTTTGATCGCCACAGATATTTGCCTGATCTACGATCAACCCCCACCCATCGACAATGTACACATGAGAGTTGAATGTTTTCTGGTTTCTAAGCATCCGTCACCTCAAACGCACCCCGACGTCGCCAAAGTGTGGGATTGTGGGTGAAGACGCCTCCTCTGACTACTCACTGATTGTTTCTTCATCACTTTTCTCTTTATGATCAAAGACAAGCTTATTGACACTCAGAACTTCTCAGTTCGATACAGCACAGTATGATGTGGGAATTCGGAGATTTTCCCTATATCAGAGCCTGGTAGTATAGAATACGTCTTCTGAGAAAAATACTCAACTTGATTTTGCATTTTGCGTAAACTTGATTTTTCATTTTTAAACATACTTCTTCTCACTATTGTGCGACTAGCGCTTACAATGATGCGTAACAGAAAGATGTACATGTATTTACGTACATCATTATTTGTAGGGTTTGAAGCTGTATAATGGTGTGAGATCGGTATTAGGTAACTGGGCGCACTTCCGTTATCTGATCGCCGTTTCGACCCCTTGTTAAAAACGTATTTCTTGGTCATTCTAAATGTTTAAATAGTTGTTCAATAGCACAATTTAAAGGAATTTGAATGCTATGTTTTATTTTGAAAAAACCCTATTGCGCTGAAAGAGCAAGAATAAAATTTTGTTGCTTATTAAAAAAACAGCTCGCTAACCAAAGTTTTTCGTTCGATGTTAAGGTAACATGTCGATAAATCGAATTTCAAGAATTCAATGATCTAATTGACTTTTATGAATTATCTGGTATTGCGCTGTAATAGCCAAAAGAAAATTGGGTTTCGCAAAAAAAGGCTCACTTCAACTATTCTTTCTTCAGTTCGATCCATTGGGAAAATTTTATCTTTCGGTCGCTTCTGATGCCTAAATAATCAATCGATAGCTTAAATCAGAAAAATTTGAGTGGTGTTTTTTACTTTAAAAAAGGGCTGTTATTGCGCTGAACGGCAGAAATAATTATTTGTTGCTCATCAAGGATTTCTCGCTGACCAAGGCCTTTCTTTTATGGTTTTAAGAACCAAACCATAAATGAATTCCATTAATGTTTTTTGGTTTTTTGAACTAAGTCACTGGTGTCCAATAAGAGCCGAAATAATATTGGTTTTTCGCACTCGATGCTTTCCTTTCCAGTTTAGCTAAGCCCAATCTTCTTTTGGCTGTTACAGCGTGGTACCAGGTCGATATTCAAAACCAAATAGATCATTAGAATTCATAAGATTTGATATCGACTGGCTATTAAAGCTGCAAAGGGAAAGCTTTGGTTAGCGAAAAATCTTTGAATGAGAATCAAAATACTACTTTTGCTTTTTCAGCGCAATAACGAGGTTCTTTGAAGATGGATTACACCGTTCAGAATTCTCTGATTCAAGCCATCGAATGATTGCCTAACTGTCAAAAACAAGCGCAAAATAGGCTTTTTTCTGACTGCTCGAAGCGGCGATCACATAGCCGAAAAGTAGCAGTAATTGTAGCATATCGATTGGCTTCTTGCACGTAAGCCATGCATGGCCTTAAACATAGTTCCATCGTCCTTTAAAAAGTAAGATTCCAAGCGATAGCAAATTCCTTAGGATTCGCCGACCATCATCATGATTTTGATCCATCTATCGAGTCACTACACACAACCAGCAGGTGTGACGATTGGTTATCTCCTTCCGACTCCTTACAATCAATCCCTCAGAAACCTGTCGATCGGAGTTCATAGGCTCTATTTGCAGCCATGACACCACTTTCAGCCGAAACATTCATTTAAGAATACCTTTTCTCAATCGAAACAACATCTACGTTCAGAAGCTTTGCGATAGTCTGCAAACATTTGAACCTTGTTGAGTGAACTTTTCGATAGAAGTGAAGAAGCATGTTTATCGGAAACAGATGGGTGGACAAAGAGTCTCTGATGCACTGATGAACTTCCAAAACCACCTACAGATCAACGAAGTGATTCGTAGAGGTGAGAACTGCATGAGGCACAAAAAATAGTCTTGATAGGTTTTCACAAGAAAGTAATACTTAAAGCAGCTGTTGAATCTGAACTTGGCCGATGATCATTGCATACACACACGAAGTTTGACGTACAATAAGACGTGATAACAGAGTGGAGAGTTAGGCGAGAAAATAGCTTTCATCCTGGGCCCAATAAGCATGATGCAAAACACGTTACGTCATTGAGATGTTGTCACTTAGGGACAACGTACTGCAAAGAGGAATTTTGCAGTATAAGACCTTGCAAGACATATGATCATGTACATACACATTGAGCGCAAGAAGCATAATAATACAAGAGAACAACAAATCTTCACAACGAACATTCTGCATTCCATGAGGTGGAGCTCTTCGTATATAGGAGTGAGGAGCAAATCATCATGAATATGAGTTAATTTTTTCATTTGAATGTTAACTACTGATTGATTCACCGCCTCTCTAGTCAATTAGGCTCAATTGTTGTTTTCTTTTTCTGATTTCTCGCTTTTGTTCGTACTAGTGGTGTTCAAAAGGGCATGGCTAGAATGCGAATTGTGAAATGCACTTGTGCCAAGAAAGTGCTCTACACCATGATGATGCGCGCTCTTTCTGCGCTTATTCCATTCATGTGCCCAAAACAACTCTGAAAAAGTTTCATCTAGAAAATTAAACTCCGCAGAATACATGTTCCAGTCCTGCAAGATCGGAAATAAGAGTCTGCATTAGTAGTAGAAAATGTGCTTTCAAGTAATGTAGTTTTTCCATTGCAAGCATTTATTTAAGCGGCATATCTATCCTATAATTGTCTCGTGCGTGATATGGCATCTTTTCTTCACAATAAGGTGCCTCTTACCTCTGAAGTATACTGTGCAAGTATAACGGTTGAAAAGAAAGTTGTGGGGCATTTCATTGAGCTTGGAATAACTCCCATGCCTATCATCAAAATGTCAAGTTCCTTATGTGGGTATTTTCCACTGAAGACTTAGACTTCAATAGTCTTTAGTTTCACTTTGTTACAGGCCTTTGCCATGTCCAACGATACAATCGGGGTTTGTGCTTTTTTTTCGTCATCAATGGACAAAAGGGTCTCTCACAGCGATCTGTAGTCGATAAATTCAACTAAGTTGAAGCAGAAGGCAAAACAAGCAAATCCGCTGCAGCACGCTGGTTTCAACACTTTGATGCCGGACATCTTGTTCTTTAATGCAACGCTTTTCAAAGGAACGCCGATTTGAACTGTTTGATAAAGTTGAAAAAGCATGTTAAGAGTTCTTCGATTCGAAGTGGAAGGAGATACTGCGACCAGATCCGAAACTTGGCGGACCATTGGCACAAAGTTGTAAAAAGAATAGCCTTCATTTTGAAAAATAATCAATAACGCTATTGTTTAGACTTTATGTATGATTTTTGAATTTTTTAATGTGCTTCAGAACTTGCTTTCCAATCTAGTAGTGAAAATTTGCTCTGTCTTGGAGCAAAAACTCAAGTGCACTGGAAGCGAAGCGTAACAAATATTGGCTGGAACAGCGCACTGAGAAGGTCTTCACATCGACTAGCTCCAGTAGAAGATCCATGTTCGAAAGCTATCGAATGACTCCATCAGGCTAGCAAACAGCTAGGTAGGGATTTTACTCAGAGCCATCGCGGGCTGTTTCAATCTCACATCAAGTTTAGGAAACTTCATCCCATCACAGTCAAGCATTTGAGCAAAGACGTTTGCAGGAAAAGTTAACTCATTCATTGCGAGTAATAATGTGTCAGTCTAGCTATGCTAGAACTCTATGTAGCGTCAAAGTAACCAACATTTAACGATATCAATGGAAAGACCGGAAATCTGTAAGCAACAGACGAACCCACGCAAGGAAAGTTTGGAGATTTCGTGAATGGTGGATACAAATAAGAGAGTTGATTGCGAGTTGCACAGAGATTCTAACAGTAGATGTAAACACTCTTTATACATAAAACAGATCTAGATATAATATCAGGAAATAGAGTGCATCTGGAGCAGTGGTTAAAAGTGCTTTGCGTCGCATTCAAGGTCGATGGTTCGATCCCGCGCT